CACAGAAGGGACTAACCAAGGCCCAGAGCAGGTGTGCTACCTGTTCTAATGTAAGCCATTATGTTGCCAATAGAAACATAGCAGATCTTGTTTCCTGTTTTTAAAAGATACGTATTACCTGTATAAGTTATGATAGTATTTTAAAACAAAACAGGATCATATGAATGAAGAAATTATTTTTAAGGGTTTGACAAAACTAAGGAAATCCTACTTGTGGTGACAACACTGTGTTTTTAACTGCATGTAATAGAAAAGATAATATTGTAGGACCAGAGGCAGTGGGAACAAACTGAAACACAGGAGGTTTGCAAAACATCAGGAAATGCTTTTTCACTGTGAGGGTGACTGAGCACTGGCACAGCTTTCCCAGAGAGGTTGTGGAGTCTCCATCCTTGGAGACATTCAAAAAACCCTCTGGACATGGTCCCGGGCAACTGCCTCTAGGTAGTCCTGCTTGAGCAGGTGGTTGGACCAGATGACCTCCAGAGGTCCCTTCCGACCTCAGCCCTTCTGTGATTCTATGAGTTCACAGCAATAGGTATTGCAGAAATGTCTCTGGCAGGTAAACTGACATCAGCCTAAATTTAGCTGTCAGATACAGACAGACAGACATAGTAATATACAGATATCCCAATATCTCCTTTCTTCCTGAGAGGGAAATTTTGTTCAGAAGGGACATAACCTTGGATTCTTGACATCGTTAACTCTAGGACATTTTGCATATAACTTTTTAAATGCTCAGTAGATGTAATGTATTAATAGCCTACTGACCAAGGTGAAAACTAAAAAGAACTTACCACTTTTATTCCCACCATCTAAGGAAAAATACTGATGCCAGACTACATATAAAAAGATCTATGGTGATTTCCTTTTACAGGATGAGTCTTGTAATTTTATACCTCATAATTTTTTTAATCCAAGGTACTAAAATAAATAATGATATGAGGTCGCGGAAAGGACTTCAGGTTTGAAGTGTTATAGCGAGAGAAATTTCTTAATAAGCAGGCGAGTGTCTTCAGAATACAGCTGAGTGAGTCAGCAGGCCTCCTAGTTTTATTTGTGCATTTTTGCACAAACTTGGCAAAACCCAAATTAAGTGGCGAAGAAAACTAAGAGAGCTCCCAATGAAAGCAGATACCTAATGGGAAGTAAAGAGTCTCCACTGCTTCCAAAGGCACGTCTCAAGCCTTATTTGCTCAGCGAAAACTCTAGCTGGGCTTGATGAGGAGTGTATTTGCCTAGATTTTTATTTCATATTACTAAGCAACTTTAAAATACAAGTTCATATTAACTATAATTAGAAAAAGTCCCCTTTTGGGAAAAAGTATATCTCGGCGTGGCAGTGAAAGAAAGCAAAACCAAAATCAATGGCCATCCTTTTTATGTGTTGCTCCTTCTGCCTGTAGAAAGTTTAGGATACAGTGAAGTTCCCCTGGTTATGATTTGATAGGAGAAAATACTTTGGGAAGCAATGAGTCCTCTCAAAGAGAAACCCATCCAGCCCCAGGGAGCAGCTGAGTTCTGCAGAAGGGACTAGGCATGTGCACGTACAGCGCTGACAACCTGACCCGTGGGCTGTCAGGTTGCGTGTGTACTTGAAGTGCGTACTGCTAGTGGCCATCAACCCCATCAGGAGGGGGACATGCAATGACCAGCTGCTAGTATCACAGGCCACTGTGCAAAGCAGTAGCCACCCCTTAAACATATCCTGGCAGCGATGTGGAAAACTTTTATTTGTCAAATCCCCCCCAAAAGCATACATATTTGGACGTCTCCATATATATTATTCCAGAAGGGCCATTCATATTATGCACAGATGCATCAGATAAGTGTACGAACAAAAAAGAGAGATCTGTGAGGATACGCATGTATTTTTCCATGAAAGGAATGAGTTTGCTTCCTTCAGATTCCAGTACCAGTGTCCTCCCTATGTAATGACATCTTGGTGCAGAAGAGCGAGATGAACGAACTTCCATATTCACCTGAAACAGCCTCTTCCAAAATGAGTTCCGCTTTGTATATAAGCTGTCAATCTCTTCTTTAGAACCAGAATATAGATCAAAGTCAAGATACGCAAACGTGACCTATACCAGGTTAAATTTTCGCATTGAAAATATCTTTCCTCATACCTCAGATCAGTATCCTGTTTTATTGGTAAACTTTCATTTGGACCCGTTAATGTGTTTGTCACCAATATGCTCCTTTTTTGATTCGTTATAGACTGTCTTGGTTCTAATAATAATTGCACAGACCAAATATTGTATTAGTCATTGTAAAAAAAAAAGTTTACTTTGCAGATGGGCAATATATGGCAAGGCTTTGGTCCAAAGTGTTTTGTCTTGACATAGAAAAATTATATGCAAATATATGTATGCCACACTTCTCTCTTTTTTGTTAGTATTTGGCTTTAGAAGGAATGCCTGCAACTGAAACAATGCTAAAAATGTCCTACAGATTAATATTTATTATGTGCATGTGTTGATTTTATGTGTATGTATCAATGAGAAACTATATTCCCTGAAATAATGAAAACCTTCCGCCTCTCTCAGCTATTAATCCTTAAAGCTATAGTACTGCTGCTTTCTTTTTGTGTTTGAAATTTTCGAAAGCAGTCTAGGGGATTTAGACACATATCATCTGTTAATTCTAGTGGCAGACATTTATCTAAATCCCCTACACTATTTTTTATTTTTAAAAAATTCAGGCTTCCTTTTATCTGTTCACTTTCCCTTCATAATGGCATTGGTTAAGCACTGCCTGTGTTAAAAAGTGTTACCTCTTGGTCACCAAAAAGGATTAGACAGCTTTATAGCAGAGGAAGCAAAAGGGTGAAACAGCTAGGAAAGAATTATGCAAGTGTATCAACTGCACTGTATTTTTTCCAGAAGAGACCATATCTTCAGAAGTGTGTGAGCTTGCCAGGTACACTGGCTGCCTCATATATTCTGGGATTCTTCTGGCATTAAAATAATGCTAATTGGAAAAAAACCCCACAACTGCTATTGCTATGAATATTAATAGCAACATTATTTATTTTAATGCAGTTTGCTCTTTTTCTCTCTTTCAGTGCATCATAAAGTTGTTCTTGAAAGATTTCAAGTAAAAAAAAAAAATCTTTTCCCATTCTTTATACAATTACAATTTCTTGGAGGAACTACAAAAACGAAAATCTTCCTTAGGAATAGCTTCTTCTTTAAGAGTTTTCTATCTTTCATTTCAGCCATTTTATATCCAGAAGACTGCAGCAGTGGAAGAGAGAGGTCAAAAGGTGGAAACATCAATGCTTACGTAATCCCCAAAGAGGATTATTCCCCTCACAAAAATGGCTAGCATGACATGAAATTAAGGATATTCATTCTGTGTCTGCACATCACTTGTAATGGAATTGGTAAATCTTTAGAAAAATAGAGCAACACGAGAACAACTGAGCTTTTCCCATGGTATCAGCACGGATAATATTAAAGTTCAAATCAGTTTTTCTAACCCAGCACTCGCCAAAGAGCTCTGCGAAGCCTTCCTTCCTCTCACCACCATACACTTCTGCCAACTAAAGGATGACAGCTACAGATTTATTAGAAATGGGAGAAGGGGCACCGCTTGGATTTTAGCACTCCTGTTAGTCCTGGCAAAGGTGCATGCATTGCTTTCTCATTTGGACCAGGGCTACACCCATTCCCAGATGAAAAAAACCACATTTATCCTGTTTCTGTGCCAGGATTACACAATCTGATGTGGTCTACAATATGAGAATAATAAAAGTATAATGGTTTTCAACCACAGTGTCTATGTAGCACTTCCTAGGACAGAAATCACTGGACAGGTACTTTTGTTACTCATTTCATATGCCAACGAATGCAATAGTCAAAGGCATTTTATGAGTTTGGTGGTGCTCAAAAAAAAAATCACATGCCTCTGAAGATCTACTAAATGTGCCAACTCAACTTCCAATAAAACTTTAGGGGAAAAAAAAGTAACTTAGCCTCAGGGCTAACATTTCAAAATGAATGCCTCATTAAATTGGTATTTACATATCACATACGAATGCCCAAATGCTTAAAAACCAAACAGGATACCTTCTGAGACCTAACTTTGATAACTGCATTTCCCCATACATGCATGTTTTCATAGTGAATATGAAAAATTCCCACTGAGAGTTAACTTAAAATCAAGGCATTATCTTTATATAATAGGACTAGATAGTTAGTACTTTCATCCACTCAAACCACTTTACCATCAGGAAAGCGATGAAGGAATTGCCCTGAAAAGTAAGCCAGGCTCAACTGTTATCTTGAATTTTATTGATTTGTTCTAAGTTCAGAAATATTTTCAAAATCTAATAAATGAGTTTTTAAATTTTTTCTTAATTCACTACAAATAATACGAGAGAGAAAAATGGATCTTTTGATTATAATTGAAAAGTAGGATGAGCTGGAATAGAGCGCCTTGATCGAGCATTTCCTTGCTCATTGTACATATTTAATCATATTGTCGACGCATTTTAATAATGTCTTATTTTTTAAAAAAGTAGATGGTAAGATCACTTGTGTTAGTGTCACATCATTTATATCTTGCTCTGCTCTTGCCTGGTTTCTCTTAAGAGACAGAATGTCAACCAGTTTCTGCAATGACAAAACAATATGGTTTCATTTGATTGTCACTGGTGATATTTTTGGCTCATTTTTCATGGCTCTGTCACCCCAGATTCATGAAGATGCTGCTTCTCCTCATTTGGATACTGGTTTTCAGTGGCAATTTTTCATACTTGACTCGACCAATGTGATTTTCACTGCTGTATGCCGACTCGTCCTATGATACAACTACCTGTATCAATTCAGAGGACTTGAAATACTATCTTGAATTTGACTACAGATAGTTCTGTGAAAACGGAGGGTTATTCCACTACCAGGAGCATTCAGATACATTTATATCACCAACTTGCTGTCATCTGTAGGGGGTTTTCCGAATTGAGAAAGAAATACATACCAGGTTAATATTCCTACCTTCCAACTCCCAGCAGCCAAGTTCTGCAGTGCCCCTGCTGCCCCCTCCAGCGTGTCTGGATTTGAGCACTCAGAAAGAAGTGTGAGGTAGGGTTTGACTATTGAAGGGTGCCACAGCATCTGGATTCCTTTGGGTGGTTCTGCACAGTCTGGGAGAGGTCCTACGCCATCCCACTGTTGGAAAGTACAAATCAGATTGTCAGCAAGGAACAGTAAAATACTTGACAATTGCCTCAGTGGAAGCTGTAACATCTATGTCTGCGTGTGTGAAGGCTGCCCGCAAGCAGCCATTCTCAATTTTAGCATACTATGTGATTCTTCATAAACCAAATTTCCTACTCAACGCTCCTTACAGAGGAGCTATAGCATTGGCAGAAATCACAGTGTTTTAGCTAGCTGACATAACAAAAACATTTTTCACTGCATTTATTTTTTTGGGTGGGAACAGAAGCCCAGTGAATGTCAACGTATCTTAAGAGGAAAATCTAGAACTTGCATATGAAGAGAATTTCCTTTTTCACATCCTGCTCGGCTCTTTGCTTTCTCTCTCTTCTCATGAGAGGAAAAAACACCACCATGAAACACTAATGTGGAAAGCTAAATCATGCAAGGCCATGAGCTGTCCATCCCCTGAAAGGCCCAAGTGTGACACGTTGTCTCTAACTGCTCAACAACTTCTGGCTTCTCACCGTGCAAGTTCTGGAGGCGTTCAGCCATACAGCCAGCCAGACGTACCATCTGAGACTCCGATGTAGTAGCTAGAACCACCTCTCACAAAACAGACTCTTCCTCTCATCACATACAGAGTTTTGCCATGAAAATAACCCTAGTCTGATATCCAAAATGGGAAATATTAACACCTGGACAACAAGCAGGTTATTGCACGAAACCCACTCCTACCAGAAAGAGAAACTTTATTCCAGGAGAACAGTGATTCACCTCTCCAGTGGAATGCACAATACTTGCACCTAAGCATAAAACACTTTAAAAAGAAGGTAATTCAAGGACTTTTTTTGCTTTTTTTAAATGAAAGTAAGATGTGGAATGCACTTTTAATGATATTTTAAATGTGATTTTTATCTATGCATGTAATATATATTTTTCTTTGCTTTGAACAGATAAAGGGATTTAGAAAAGTCATAGCCTTAATACCAGTGTTAAAAACAAGCCCCAACTTTTTAATACAATCTCTTTTCTAACACCTCTGACGTGTACAGATTGCATAATACGACACAAAGTAAACCTTTTAATGCCATGGGTTAGAGCTTACTGTGATCATGTAGATAAAAAATGTGCATCATAATATTAAACATGTACTAGACATACAAAGATAGCACAGGGCAAGTTAACTCCTCATTTAGATCTGGAACAGTTAATTTTCCTAGTTGTTTTTCAAACAACACACTGATACTTGCACTGGGAGAAGACCTAGATTCTCTCATTTCCAGGAAGTATCAATCATAATATTATTTAAGCTAACTTCAAAAATCTATATATAATTTAAGGGACAATCAATCAAGTCTTATCTAATAACAACTAACATAGCTTAATTTTAACAAGGTTTTGCTAGACTACTACCATCGAGAATCCAGGACACTATTTTTTCTAAATTAAAGCAGAAAAACCACCAAAATGGAAAGCTAGCGGGACCATTTAATACACACGAGCAGTTACTCAAAACCAGAAAGCTGCTCAGATATGAAACTCACCGCACTGGACAAAAGTTACCATAGTTTAAAAGAACTGGCGCAGCAGTACCCAGTGGTGGTTGAGAAACTACAGGAAAATTGTCTTCTGGAGAAACAATCCCTTCCAATGACACTATTACAGGGCTGTGCCTTTCAATTTTTTTAATACATTTCTGCCTTTAAACCAATAGGTTGATTTCACCGTATGTGACTCGGTTCTCCTTTTTTCTCCATATAAATCACCATCCTTGCCAGAAATGACTTCTCATCAGCTCATAAAAAATACATAAAAACCTGCTTCTTATTTTAACTCTCGGAATTCAATCATCTGCGCTGTCAGAATTTTTTGGAAAACAAATGAGAAACATGTCTTACAGATCAAATCTGACCTCACACCAGATTTGGGCTTTGTACCTTAGTAAGTCCACTAATGAACAACTTGTGATATCCAAGGGCACAAATTCAGGTCTTCATCCATCTCATTCCAATTTGCAGGAATTATGGACACATTATGCAACTGAACAGTGTTTGCACAGGGCACTTATATGTACTTTGTCCCTGAAATATTTATAACTTATCGAATGTATCAGATCTACCCAATACATATTTTGTGCGCATGTGGGGATATAACTTTTTTTTTTAAACTCAGGTATTTATAATTCCAAAGACTGCTGAAAATCAGTGAAAACCAGCTGATATAAATAGAGCTGTATATATGTTCATGCTGTGCTGGTACTTCTAAAGCACTAGAAATGACACTTGCAGATAAATTAATATTTAATGTGGTTTTGCCATTCTGCCCAGTAATGAGAAAACATTTTAAAAAAACCCATGAGACAAATTACTGCATTTTCCTGCCCTTCTTGCTACTCACTTTTAGCACATGATTGTATTAATTTATCACCAACTGCAGGGGAAGCCATTTTTCCTCAAGACACTGTGATGCCTCAGGGTCCTTGTAATGGATGGAAGTCTTTGGTGTCGCACCCACATGTGCGGTGAAGGTGCAGTAAATCCAGTGACATTGGATAATGTCCCGCACTATTCTTCAGACGTGGTGTGTGTGCCCAGAGCAGCTGAGCGGCATGCACAGGGAGGGTGTCACTGCCAGCCACGCATAAGATACATGCTGTGCCTATGGTAGCCTCTTCAAGGTCATGCGATAAAGGGTGACAGAAAAGATGCTCCTGTAGCCACTTTCTGGGAAGCAGAGGGCACAAGCAACCATGACCTGCCACACACTCCCTGTCTCCATGTTTCAGCTCCTCTCTGCTCCTGCATGTGTGATCTCAGCTAACCCTTCACTGAAGGGCTTAATGGCTTCTGGCATCTTCCGCCTAACTGAGACCAGTGCCTGCAGCTGTACAGCCCAACCGTTGCAGGGCATGTAGGACTGATACAGGTCAGAAAAGTAGCTATTGCAAAGGAGATTTTCCTGATCTTCACCCATTTACTTCGTATTTCATAAATATAAACATCAATTGCCTGAGCAAAAAAAAAAATGTTTTCCCCAAAATGATATTACAGTCCATTCTCTCAAGTGGTGCCTAAGGCATGGCAGAAGTTGCTTTGTAGTTCTCATTGCTCAATATTAATGAACTGAGGCAGCGTGCTGAACAACTCTACCCAGTGAATTACTGGAACAGTCACTGTATTGTTGCAGACCATCAGGAATGATCAGTAAGGTCTATTTGAGATAGGCTGTGGATGTATTAGGAGCCTCTGAAAAAGAGGACGACTGCATGCAATTATTCTTCCTAACTCATGCTAAGGAGGAAAAAAAAAAAGTCATAAACAAATATTCCTTCCAGGCTTCCCTCCTTCAGCTGAAATTACCCACATATATTGTGGTTGAAGCTGACAAACTGTTTGTTACGTGGGTGAGATACAAATCTCTCATTTCCTGAAACTGGTGCAAAGAAAGAATGAAAGTCAAGAATAATAAAAAGCCGAATATAAAGATCTTTAAGAACAACAGACTTTTGAGAGTAAGAGTACTCTGAAAAAGCTTCCAAAGTTTTCACATTACTAAGAAACTTTGAGAGGAGAAAAAGATCACTCATCGAGATGCTCCCCCATACCACACAACAGATTATCTACCACCTTCTTTCTCATTTTAATGAAAACAAATGCATGTTTATAGTGTAATTGTACTGAATACCAGAGAAGGCTTCAAATCAGTAAGAGAAGTGCACTCTCCATATTTTGATTTTTGTACTAACAACCTCAAGTTGGTGGCATTTGTTATTAAGGAGTATCACATGATGATAGGTTTTCCTGTGATAACAAAACAACAGTGTTTTATTTTCATTTATTAAATATGAGTCTTTTCTTTTCCCCCAGTCTGTGCAAAATACGACTACAAAAAGAAAATCTAGGAAAACAACTCAAACAAAAGCCAGCAATGACTAAAACCATCTTGATCTCTCTCCAACAATCCTAGACATGAGATAGTCTGATAATGCTGTAGCTATGCTCTTCGTAGCAGCAGTGACAAAATTTGTATCAGCAATTAAACAGTGTTCACCAAAAGCATTTTTGAAATGCCAAAGATTTTTAAACAAACAGGCCCCCTAAGAGGACAACGATTTCTCACCCTGCATATCTGTGAGGGTGAGAGGAGTGAATATGACAAATACAAATTATATTTAATAACCCTGTAGTTTTGACTTTGAAAACAACTTGGTCATACATGATACTGAGATTCCCAGGGTATACGAGATGTTTCTGTGTAGGCAAGCAAGATTTTGAAATGCTAAGAAGCTCTGTAAGGAGCTGCTCAAGATAGTTGATTTCTTGCCAATCAATACTTGGCATAACCACCTTGTGCAAGACAAGGAAGCAAGAAGTGGAAATAATATCCTGTGTAGGCAAGCAAGAATTTTGAAATGGTTGCTAAGAAGCTCTGTAAGGAGCTGCTCAAGATAGTTGATTTCTTGCCAATCAACACTTGGCATAACCACCTTGTGCAAGACAAGGAAGCAAGAAGTGGAAATAATATCCTTCCTGAGCAGAACATACCAGCAACACAGCCTTTCATCTCTAATCTCAGTGTAGATTATTAGCTAAACCCAGGAGCCGCCACCATTTCTCTGTTTCTGTGCTTATTAATTTGGTAAGGCTCAGAAGAGTATTGAAATACACCTGGTAAAACAGTCGTCTCACCACATGAAAAGGCATATCTGACAGCTTTATTTTTTATTCTTTTTGCAGGATTATTGCCTTAAACCTGCTATTTCACCTGGATAGAAGAATTTACAGCCCATTTAGCAAGCATGCTAAAGAGGTGTACCAGTCAATTCATAATGATACATAACTTGAAATGTTGCTGTTATACCTTAAGGCTCCTGACAGAAGGCAAAAGAGAAGGTCAGGCTCATTTCAAAAGTGTCACTTCCAATAAAAAAATCAGATTTTGGGCTAGATTCTGCGTTGACAAGAATGATCACAGATGGGGAACTCTAGAGGAGCATGAAGCCAAGAAGTCAGCCTGTTTCTTCTTAGTGAAGAAAAGAAAAGAAATGAAATAGTGCCGCATGTGTATATAATGTGCTGCATAACAAGAAATAAAATAAGGATTAATGACAACTCCCTGGCTCTTTTATTGAAATTGGACCATACATCTTATTTTCCCTAACTGCTTTTTGTCATAATCCTCATTTCTCATACAGCTCAAAGAATAAACCTGTTGGCAGCAGTGAGCATACCAACAGCAGCAACACAATTTTCAGTGGTGGAAAAATTAGTTTCCATCTGAAGAGTGACATAGTACAATGCAGAGAGGTCAATGTCTACAATGTTCTAGTTAGAGATGAAGGCCTCTACAGCTGGAGAGCTTTGTGGGGTGAGGGCTTAGTAACAGCTGATCATAGGTAAGCAGCAGAGAGACTATAACAAGCAACGGCAGGGAACTACAGTCCTTGGGGTCTGAGACAGAAATAAAGTCAGGTGAGTCTCACTTATTTTTCCTGAAGCTTTTATAGAAGTTTTGCTTTCTGTTTTTCCATAGATAATACCAATGCTATACCTGGCTTTTATCACAGGTCTTTAGAAGGTTTGGGTCTCTTCCGGCATTAAACTTGTGTGACAAAGCATATGCCTCAGGAACCTGTCTGAACTCTGGTAAACCACCGAAGAGAGGAAGGATTGTGGGCTCTTTTAACACCACCCACCTTTATTCTGAAATGAGGAGAACGCTTGTTCCTGTGATCCTAAGGGAACTCCTTAAGTAAAGTCATTTGAAAGGTGACATTAGACTTAACTATGAACTGAACAAAGAAACATCTCTTACTTGATCTCAAGATGTAGAGAAGCTGCCATTGGTATAGATAACTGATGTCATTGATGAAAAATATATCCCAATTTGCTCTTGAAAGGCCTTTCAAAGAAAATCACATTTTATATTACCACTCAGTTCTGTTCTTCTCCTCAAGTAACTTATGTATGACTACAACTGAAATACAACCTAGAGAAATAGGGATAATTGTTTTCTAAATCATGAAACAAAGAAATTAACTTCTATTTTCTTTACAGAGAAAACTGATGAGAAAGTGACTTTAATGTTACAGAAGGTTTCTCCTGTTTTATGGTTTAAGAAACAAACTCCCTAGCTGTGTATGGGATTTTTTTTTTTTTTTAAAGTATAAAAAAACACCAAAACCCCTGTCATCCACATCCGCTGCCTAAAATGATACATCTGGTATTATTGCCCAATTGTAGTAGTTTTGCTACTAGTAGTTTTTAGATAAGTTGAATACTTTCATTCAAAAATTAAAGACCACCCCATAAATGCCTATAACGGTCACTTCAGAAGGAGTTCAAGAAAATACACACTTGAAAAACTAAGTGAAGGCCTGAAGAAGTATACTATAAAAGGAAAATTTCACAATTGCATTCACTAAAATCTGAACACTTTTTTCCCCACACTGTTTTGTAAACCTTTTATCTTCTGAGAAAGACCGAGACAATCAATTTTATTATATGAGAACCCCATGCATCGCCAAAAAAGAACGATACTTATACCCTCAACACATATTTTCTGGGGACATAAAATGTAGCAGGCTGCAGAACTGGAAACTACTCCCCTGTACTGAGGTGTCACAACTCTTAGAGACGCGTCTGTGCCCTGTGCTTCGCCTGACAGGAAAGACAAAACTCTCAAGTATTAAAAGAATCACACAGGTAAATGACTGGAGTTTTAATACTGGGCTGAACTCCACTTTGTGTATCTGTAAGTGACAATAATAAGGAGCCGCAAGAAAGATTTGCTTTTACATTTGTGAAGAACTTTTCCGACAGGTAACTAGGTTTGTATTGTCTAGAATGAACGATCTATTAAAAGTAGCCTCAAGCTCAATGCCGCCTCTTCACGGGGCATCTGGGTAACTGACTACTTCTGTATCTTTCTCGTCTCCCATTTCTTTGAGGTTTCCTTCCACAGGTTCCAAATCCGTGGTGGTGTGCAGTGCTTTCAGTGTTTCGGATGTTGTAAGTTATTGCATCCTATGAAGATTCCATAGGTATGCCTTGCTTATTTACATGTAAAACACTGTCCATCATGAGCGTGATCTTCAGAACTATATTATAAGATATCTCAGAGCATAAAAGCTTCCCTGTTGAGGCACTTAAAGGAATGAGTGCTCTAAAAATAGCATCCCAAGGAGAGCACGAGATCTGTTCTGAGGGACAGAACAAGCAGCAGGTAACAGCTTAAGCACTGCAATCGAAAAGAGATTATGAAAGGCATTGCCTGAAAAAATTTAAAAGTCTTGCAGAAAAATGATGAGATTACTGTAAAAGAATACGTACACGTGCAATACACAGGGCAGCAGACAGCACACAGGGAGACAATGTATGGTGAAAGGACACGTGAAAACTTTCTCCTGAAAGCTGCAGAAAGTGTTGATGAGCTTATTTTAGATGGTGTGAATTCTGACTAACCTGAGGAACACAAGATGATCCTGTTCTTGTCTGGAAAAAACCCACCCCAACAAAACACCCAAGAATACTGATTTTTCTTGATGCACACAGAAACAGTAAACAGCATATTCCTGACTGTGACACAGTCCAGAAGAGCATCACCTGGGTTTCCAGTTATTCCTACTTTTCAGTCGTAATGAACGTACCGGGGTCCTGAAAAACCGCAAGACAGTAACAGAGCCAAAGAAGCAGAAAGAACTTTTTTTTTTTTTTTTAACATAATTGGACTGGGTGGTTTCCAGAAAGAAAGCCAACTGAGTATCGTTGTGTGCTCATTTTTGCAAAATAAATGGACAAAAAAATTACCTTTACCCTTACCCCAGTTTGAGTTGGGGGTCAAGCTCTATGCTATTAATATAAAGGCACAGTTACATGAAAAACATTCTTCTGTTTTTCTTTTCCATTTATGAGAGTAACTTGGGAGAGCTGTTTCGGGCATGGTGATCTTGCTGATAGACCTCAGTCACATTTGTTTTTATAACATATTTTAAAAATGTTTGGTATGGTCAACAACAGTCAAGGATCACGGGGTGAGAATAACGCACTCTGCAGAAGGCTCACACGGCTCCCTTAAACACCTGAACTAAATAATGGTATATGGCAAGATGGGGTAGGCTGTCCAGATTTAAAGGAAATGAGATGAAAAGAGAAAAAAACATTGGAAAAATATTTCTAATGTTTGTAAGGCAAAGTGGTCCTGTGCACCACAAAATTAGTTCTGGAAAGAGTAAATTTATTTACTTGCCGCAGAACAGCCTAGTGAACATAAACCTGGAAATATGTGCATAGTTTTACTTTTCTTTGGATTTAAAAACTTACATTAAACCCTTCCATTAGACAAACACAAGCAGATCTGAAGAGACCTTTACCATGCTGCATGCTGATAATGAACGCTCAGAGAAACAGACAAAAGCAGGCAGAAGCACCTATATTGTAAAGGAAATCAGCCAGAAGAGATTAGTTCTTTGGCCTGGAGGAGGAGAAAGATCTTCTACAGGGAACCTTTAAAGTACAGAGAAGTCTGACAGGAACAATGAAACAGTCAGTGGTACAGAGTTGAAAGTATAAACCTGAGATCCAGAAGTCACAGAAGGAATATAAAAGGAAGAGTTAAAAAAGACTTTAAACACGGTGTGTGTGTGTGCACATGCATGTGTTGGTAACCAGAGCATCAAAAGAGAAAGGCGAGTTGCAGTATGACCCATTCATATCCAGACATGCTATTTTCGTTGCTGCACTTTGAGTAACTGCAAGCGTAGCGTGTGGGAACTGTTAATTCAGGAACAGGGATGATGACTGCTTTATGGGGTAGAATTAGCTTGCTTTGGCACTTTTTATCTCGCTGTATCCTAATACAGGAATCCCAACAAAAGGCCATAATAAATTCAAATTATCTGATGACTGCAGTGTTTAACTAGAAGAGTAGGTGAAATTAAAGTCTTACTAGTCACGAGTGCTGCATTTTTCAGTACCTGAATCTTAGCTTGTTAACGTTCCTCTGACTTTTCCACATTAACACAATTTGCCTTTATGAACTCAGGAATATTTTCAATACTGGTTTACATCATTTATGCAAATACCCCGTGTGCCTAACTGCTTACTCAAATGAGTATTTTCTTTGAGCATTCTGAAACGGAAATAAATGGCAATGGAAAAGACTAAGTCTAGGAAGAGATGGAGAATTGCCTGCTGCCAGCACAGGTCATTGGAAAAAGTTCATAAATCAGTAGCCATTCTCATTGCTATTTAGTGTGTGATGTACAACATCATCTTTCTCCATAACACCATTGTCAGCATTCTGCAAATTTTAAGTTGTTAATGGGAAAACAAGGAGATAAATACACTTTGAAAGTCAACCCACCTAAAATAAAAACCCACAGCACCTCATATAACTTGAGGAAACTATCAAGACGGTACTTCTCAATCTTTGCTTGATAACAATATCAAACGTATCAAAACATGCATTTTTTTTTTTTAACATTCACTCATATTGCTTGATCCAGTCCTGCACAGTTTTCTCTCAACATGCAGAGAGAGAGTACAAGACTAACTTTGAAGCAAGTAAGCATACAAATGTAAGCCCGCTGTTTGCTTGCATCAAAGCCTCTCTACGCACAGGTGGCTGTGTGGAAGTACAGTGTAAAGTATATGCAGATTACACCTGAATGTTAAGACTTACACTTTTCATTATAAATGGCTTCCTTTAACAGACTGACCAGTTTACAGTATTTACGGTGTTCACAGTGTACCCATGACTACAGTTTCCAGGTGCCACCAGGTAATGTGCTACTTTCTCAAGCAAACATATTTCCTTTTGTTACTTGAGCCATACTCTGCTTTAAGCTCTCAGCTATTAACAAAGGCAACAGTTTTGCATATTATGCATCATGCACTTTATTTCTAATACAGTGCATTAATCATTTATATTTTAAACGATGGGCACGTCAACCACTTGCAACGCAGCTGCAAGTAACTTTCATTACCTGATCTTGTGATTTCTTTTTCTTCTTCTTCTTCCCCCAGCACCCTGAACTCTCTGCGTCTTTTCCATTGGCATCACCACAGAGTAATCCATCAAGTTCATCTGTTCCCATCTGCTGTCCCTGAGATGTTTCTGCAGCTAGCCTGTATGAGAGGTTCCTCAAAATGCACACACAGTTTTCAACGGTCTGAAAAGTGACAAGAAAACCCCCAGAAAAAAGTTAAAATCCTTCCCTTGCTCACTCTGTATACAAAGCAGAGGAAACATCATCGATCTTTGCACATACATTTTCCCAGCACAATTCTTATCTGCCTATTTCTGAGTGCTCCCCAGGTAACCACAACTTAGGAGACTTAGAAATCTTTATGGAAAGAAATCAGTAGTCTGGACAGTATTTTTTGTGTGAGTTTTTTTTACTGTCATTCTGAACTTCTGGAGCCCCATGTGAAACAGTAGCCGAGATGTTTTTTTTAAAAAACAGAAATAACCTTTATTTCTGGCATCAATTCTATGTAAATTTCAGAAAAATGGGAGACGAGTTCCATTTCACAAATACTTGTAGCATGAACAGATGATGTTTCTCAAGTCCCAGAAGTAAGACTAGAAATGTCAGGAGTCTTGCTGCTTTTACTGCTTCTAGCCAGGCTACAAATAAGTCGTAGGCAGTCTTTCCCTTTCATCCATTTGTCCCCCTAGTAGGTTGTGCCTTCTGTAAAAGATGGTGGCAGGAATCCAGGAATGGAGTGAGACCCAGCAGAGCAAAGAGACGGCACCAATAATTCAAGATAATTTCTGCAAGTCTAAAAGAAGCTCAGTTTAGACTCGCTTGAAGCCTACTCATTTAGTTGGTTCAGTTTGGTTTGACTACCCTTAACAGGAAGGATATGTACTTAATTTTCTGGAGGCAGGGAAAGCATGGTTAAAAAAAGCCAGTCTGTATCTATCTATATCTATTTCAACTGTTCCTAACACTCCACGGAGATAAAAAGCGATAGTCACTACATTCCATCTCTGTTGCTCCATTAACCCAGAATGAAATGACTGCGAGGCTTTCGGCTCGATCGTACTCTGCCACATTCACCAGTGAGGCAGACACATTACACTTGTACGAATTTGAAATCTCCAGCCAAATACGTAAACACATATTGAAATATATATGTAGGAAGTGTGAAACTTCTTAGTGCACCTTTTCATACCTCAAAGCTTTGCAGATCTCATGGTGACCATAAAAAGTTTGCTACCTCTTTTACTTTTCTTTAACATTTCCATATTTGAATTTTATTCACTCTTACCAATATCTACTTCTGCATATCCATGATGTGCTGAAGTTGAAGCTTTTTGTTTGTTGATTAGGGTTCTGAATTTTAATTCCCCTTTTTACAAATAATAGTTTTCACACTTAAAATTCTCATTATGGCAAAAACAAATTAGCTAAGTCCACTGCGAGGACAACATTACCTCAAACTAAAAACTGATAAGCAGAATTCCAAGCCTCAAACGCAACCAACACCTTCTCAACTAAGGTGATCTCGTACAAGCCAAGAAAGCTGGTTCTAGTCATGCAGTGGGAGAGACTTCACTCCTTCTTGACTTGTAGCTTTGAACTTTTAAGGGTCCTTGTATTCCTCATCCCTACAGATATTTTTCAGTTTCATCATAAGGGGACTAAATATGAGTTCAGTAGTCGTAACAGATCAAATTAAAATTATGAACAGTAACTTTGTCAGGTAACCATGTCTAAGTCACTCATTTTTAACATTTTAACTTGAAGTATCGTAGTTTTTTCTTATTAGACATTTATAAGAAACACTGCTGCTAAGATGCTTATAATGCTGCTAAGATTTATGCACTCTTGACTTCACCAACACAAGGAATGACTCTAACAACAACTCAGCATGCGCTTGCAAGTTCCCCATCCTCTTTCAGAACCTGCAAGAGCAGGGACCTGTTTTTCAGTATTTCAGTTTTTAGTCACAAAGAAGCACAAAAACATGCTGTGAAGGATCATTTGGAAACAGAAACCCAGTGGGCTTTAAAATTTTGTTATGTAAAAGGTTGCTCTCCTGTGATTCTTAGGGGTTTGCAAATGGACCAAGGTTGCCCTAGAGCAGCAACTGTAATTAATTTAGCACCATATACTGAAAGGAAAAGGCATTTGAAACTGGCCTTTTTCTTCTTCTCTGGAATACTTGAACGTATTACAAATCTTCAACTTGTAAATGCTTGAAGTCTTTTTAATTAGTCAGTGCCTTTCACCTTTGGAGAAGCATGTTCATATCCTAGTACTTCAGAGAAGTACAGTTAACAAAAATACATCTTAAAACAGTTGTTATTGAAAGCATTCATTGATCCTCTTCAAAGAGGAAATAATGTTGGTATTACTGCAAAACTGCCTATTAATTGCACAATTTTTTGTTTGTTTGTTTGCCTTGTAAGCCTACCTCACTGTTATTAGCTGTCTCATACTGGGTACTGAAAAACAATTTTAGGGTAAACCTGGCAGAGCAGTGCAAGGAAGTTTACATGGAATTTGACATATTTGCTCTTCTTAAATCACTATCATATTTTCTCCCTTAATAATTCAAGTGAGAGGATGACATGCTTACCTGTGCACACTACACAGGTAAACACAAATCCAACACTTAGCACACAAAAATACACAGCTCAACAGAAGGGAAAGAAAAAAACGGGCTAAATTATGCTTTGCTAAGGCATCCCTCACAATGCTTTTTTTTAAAAAAATCTGTCACTTTATAGTCCTGATGTACCCTGAATACCTGGATTTCTCGCCCCTCAAAAGACAAAGATGACGAACCTTACTATCAATTTCACTGCTCCCCAGAGCAGACTGGATCACGTACAGCAATGCGTCTGTCAGGCCATCACACTCCCTCATTCTTCTGCGGGCCTCTTCTCCAGCAGAGCTGACATTCCTGCAAGGCAACAGCAAGGGTCACCACCTCCACAGCTCCCCTGCCCACCTCCCCTCCTGTAAACGCTCTCACAATTAACATACAGATAAAACCACCCGGATTTTTTCTCCTTTCATCAGTTGAGAGCTGTGAATAATGAAGACAGCTGTGAATGAGCTCAGGAAATGTAACACAGAGGGGAACAAATGGAAGTCATCAGGTCCTCCACAGGAAAGGGCTGAGAGGCCAAGCAGCATGCGCCCACCTGAGCTGGGAGACTCACGGCCTACTAAAATTTGGAGAAGGGCTGACCATTTTTCTTTTTTTTTTAAAAGTAAGTTTTGTATTTGTCAAGAAGCACTTTAAAAATGTGCATATGTACATATAAATCAGGCTTTGAAAAGTCTAGAGGTTTTGCCAAAGAAATCTCCTAGGATTTGAAGAGCCCAGTAGTTAGGGCTCTTAACCTAAGAGAAAAGTATTATCAAAGCATAACATAAAACACCTGGTATTGTTTGCTTCTCATTTTCCACAAGTGTTTCCTTTTCTCTCTCATTTTCAGAGAACATTAATGCCTCAATCTTCTCTTTATGTAGTTACTCACAAGTTGTTTTACACTGCAAAATTTAAAACCTCAGCTTATTATAATAATTGTGTTCCTGAGACAGGGCCAGAGGGTCTTCTGAACACATTCATAAAAACGCAATTAAAACAAAATTTACTGAATCACATCATGTCTCATAAAGTTCAAAATATTGATATATAAAGAAACAAGTATGTATGAATGAGCATATATAAATAGAATCTATACTTGCTAACATCAAGCCTCCCTAGGAAAAATTGCATTCAAATTTGCACAGCAGTTTTGATTTGGAAATGGGTGAATTAGCAATCTCAGGAATGGAGTAAATCTTTTCACATAGTCTCCTTTGGTAGGGAAAGACAACCCTCTGCTGAGGTGACTCATCTGTAGCTCCTCTCTCCCCAGTACTAAAGTTTATACAAAGGAAGAATGGAGAAGAGCACACCAGCCCTCTGTACTTAATGTCAATGTATGGAAACGGAAGGGAGACCATTGGCCCTTTGATTTGGGAAGAAGGCGAGGCACTTTCTTCCTCTTTCGCCATTTTCAATTGCCTTTGCATTAAAGATGGAAAAAGGACGAGAATCCTGGGAGGCGGGAATGAATTTTAGATGGAGGAAGGTGAGAGGACTTAAGGATAGGTTTCCTTTCAATTCTTTCTTTGCTCTACCTACTTCATCCTGTTCTGCCTCCCTATCATCTCAAAAAAAGCATTTCCATTCCCCCAAAGCACCAAAGAGTTTTCCTAATCAAATAATCTTATAACTGGACAATCCCCCAGCCCCTCCAGTGCAGGTTCCTAATTGATTCTGCTCCCTTAACACAGATGATTTTCCATCTATACTTGCATCCCCACACAGTCCTTATTAGTTCTGTTCTCCCACACACAAGCTGCCCCAATTAATTCCAATACTATTCCCTTCACCTCTGCAGACAGCCTGACAATAACCATACAGCCCAGGAGCACTAGAACGAATTCCTTTACCTCCCTAGCACACAAATTCATGCTTTCCATGCTCCTTGAGACTTCCCAGTTCACTGCACATTACGCATCAGAAGTGTCCCCTTCATAATGGCTTGCAAGTTTTGTGTTGTCTTGTTCTTCTGATCTCTAACTCCATAACTCTTCCCCTCTCTCTCTGCTGCTGTAAGAGCAGCAGATGAGGGGTTTTCCTCCACGGGGAAACCCTCTTCTGCCATCCAGGAACTCCGGTCTGGAGAGCATCAACTGGAAAAAGTCTTCCATTGACTCTCCCTTTGAAGTAATGGAAACCTTTTGACTTCCCTTTGCGTGACAGAAATTAGAAGGTAAAATTATAGAGCATGGTTTTCCCAAAACAGTGCCCATGGTCTATATTTGCAGGGCTGGGGACTCTGCCTAAAGTGTATTTTGAGTAGACTGTCCCCTTATTAAAGGCAACAGCTCCACCTGAAATTCCTGAAAGGCAGCACATAGGAAAAGCAGAATCATGGATCTGAAAAGTGCATTGGGGGTGGGCAGTGAGGACGAGGGGGGTTAGTGGACCTCTTTTATCTGAAATTCTACTCTCTCACCCTCCAGGAAGATGAAGACAGAGATAAAAAAAGAGCAAGAGAGTTGCATCCAGCCCTAAAAGAGTAACTGCACAACTTACAACAGGAGGATGCTGAGGAAGTGTTCTTAGCACACCACCTTTCCTTGCACCACTATAAAAAAAAAAGCTGAAATATTACCGAATCCTTTTAAACAGAGCTAGCTGTAACAGTCTGTACTAACATTATGTGTCCAGGCTTCTTAATTTTCTGCAGGTACATATACTGAGTGCAAGCTTTCAAAATATCTAGACTTAGACATTGGTAGAAAGAGAGAGATACATTCTCCCTGATCTTCTCATTGAGGTGATTTCTCCTTCTCTCTAGCATGGCCAAATGCATGTCACCTTGACTCTCCAGAGCCTGCATAGACTGGCAGCCTCTCAGCTCCTCTCCACGTTCACCAGAAACCCCTCCTCACCAAGACAGCAATGCAGACAACCTTATAGTCCCTGAGCTGCGAGCTGTCTGCCTCATTCATTTCCAGCCAAAGAAAGAATATGAGGCCTTTATACAAAGTAATACAGACACACTAGGGGCACATCTTGCACAGAAAATGCATTTCTTTGCCCTGTGTGGAAGAGCTGTCGAGTTCAGTTCTTCTGTTTATCATCCTTCCCCATTATGCTCCAGTTGCTTCTGTAATCAAAAGGTGGATATACTGAATTCTCATGACTGCTTTCCCTTTTCTTTTAAAAGTCTCTGTCTAGTTTCTGCAGTGACTCATAGCTACTACAGCCCTCCCCAGATTTAGTGTATTTGTTTACATGGGAAATAGCTTAAAACCCAAGACAAATCCAAACTTTGCATCAATGTTTTGGCAGAAGTAACAATTTAAAAAGATTATTTAAAAATAAATACATCCTATTATCTAACTATTCCTATTTCACCTCTATTGAAGGAATCATTGTTAACTGAGATCTTTCACAGAAGGTCTCTAATATCACCATGTTCAGGCTATGCAGTTCTGCAAAAGAGAAGCAAGTTCCAGATTACTCGAGTTGTCAAAGAAAACACACTGCCATCTTAAATTTTCTTATTTCTTGTTGTTAACTCGAACATGCTGTAGCTGTCAGTGTGACAGGGAGTAAGACATTATTTGTCATTTGTGAATTTACAGGTCACTGTGCAAACCTTAAACTGGAGCATTAGTACTATCTACTGTTGGTGAAATGTCCCACTAAGTAAGCATGTATTTCTCCAGTGTCAGTCTCCAAACAGGTAAAATGACGTTTTCTGGATTTTTAAACAGATGTGGAGATACAATGCACAGGTTTTCAGGAAAAAAATACTTTTCCATCATAAAGGCAGCCCAGCAAAAGCTTGATTGCCTGGTAAATTTTGATACTTTGTGGAAACTCTACTCACAGGGTATACATGAGGTGTAGGCTGACATTTTGCATCTAACAGGACAAGGAGTCCTTTAGACCTCCATAAACCAGTAAAATTTATTTCAAATGGAATCCAATCACACAGGAATACCAAGAATACAGAGGGCTGAAGAGTAACTCTCAGTTTAGTCAGAAGGTCCCACTCAGACCTCCACAAAAAGGCTAATGTAAACAGCTTCTTCTCAAGAGAGGAACACCAAGAACAAGAGCTCAGACCCATGGCTCATCAAACTGCTGTTTTCTGAACAAATGGCAGACCCATTTTGCTAATAATCTAGGAATGGAAAGAGAACTCCAATAATCCAGCTTCAGTTTTATGGGAGGATGTGTCACAGCTATCATGTCATCACCTGATAACAGCAGTCATGATCCTCCAAACATACATAAGGGGTGTCAATCCAATGCTCTATGGATATGAAGTGTGTGGTATAAAGGAATGCACTGTGCAACACATACCTGATTCCTGTCAACCCTGGCACTCACCTTAGGTATTCAACATAACTGGTTGATGAGAAGCTCAACATGACCCAGCAACGTGTGCTTGCAGCCCAGAAAGCCAAGCCTATCCTGGGCTTCATCAAAAGAAGCGTGACCAGCAGGTCAAGGGAGGTGATTCTCCCTCTCTACTCCACTCTTCTGAGACCCCACCTGGAGTACTGCTTTCAGCTCTGGGGCCCCCAACATAAGAAGGATATGGACATGTTGGAGCAAGTCCAGAGGAGGGCCACAAAGATGATCAGAGGGCTGGAACACCTCTCCTACGAAGGCAGGCTGAGAGAGTTGGGGTTGTTCAGTCTGGAGAA